TCTCAGCTCTTGTAAAGAATGGTAAACTGACTGTGGGTCAGAAGATCGTTACTCATGGAGCAGAACTGGTTGGCTCTCCTGATGCCTGCACACCACTCGAAGCCCCAGAAACTCTTATGTTAAAGGTAAATTAAATTAATGCATACTCTAGGTAAAAATCAGTCACTGATTTAGTTAAGTTCTAGGGAGGTTTCATATTTTAGATTTTAAACTTAGGTCTATGAAAGATGCTCCATTTCTTGAAAACATACTAATAGTTGGAGTGTAAGTGGCAAAATTCTCAGACTGTCAAATTTTTTTGTGCTACTTTTAGGAAACTGAGCAGTATATATTCAGCTAAAACAATGCAGGAGCAAATTTGCACTGGATTTGATTTGGGGCTACGGGTGCCTATAGCCCTTGGTGCCGTATTGTTCTCATACTATTGCTCTGCTTCCATCCTGATTACCTGATTATTAGATCTTTATTTCAGTATGATTAGAAAATTAGGTTTCAGTGATTCTTAAATAATAATAATAAAATGTACCTTTCATCTTTATGTAGACTTAAACTTATATAATAGGACTTTGTCACATTGAATAGTCTATAATATTGATATGAGAAATTACTAATATTGTAAGTCAGATTTATGAGATGAAACAGTTTACTTCTGTCATATTCTGGATCACTCTATTTCAGGAAGGTGTTTAAATAAATTAAACATTTTTAAGGTAAAGAGATATTTTGTCATTAACTCCACATTGTTGCTTTTAGTCAAGCTGAAACAAGCTTTATGTTGCTTAAAAATCAAAGTTGGGGTAGCTTTCAATCTTTTGGTTTTTTTTTTTTTAATTTTTTATTTTTTATTAACATATAATGTATTATTAGCCCCAGGGGTACAAGTCTGTGAATCGTCAGGTTTACATACTTCATAGCTCTCACCATAGCACATACCCTCCCCAATGTCCGTAACCCAGCCACCCTCTCCCTACCCGCCTCCCCTTCTGCAACCCTCAGTTTGTTTTATGAGATTAAGAGTCTCTTATGGTTTGTCTCCCTCCTGATTCAATCTTTTGTTTTGCTTTTATCAAATCAGTGGGTGTGCATAATTTCAAAACTCATGTAATGTAGCCTTATGACCACCGCCTCCGCCCCTCCCAGCAGAAAAGCAGTCACTGAAGCCATCTTACCTAAACTCTGTTCCTGCTCCCCAGAGGCAACCACTTGGAATCTCTGGCAGTTTCTTTTGCTTATACTGCTATGTTATCTTTTCTCCTTTTGTTTAGACATTAACTGTTAGCTTCCTGCTATGAAAGTTGAAGAGTGAAGTCTGTATTCACTGTTTACATTATAATGATTGAGAAATATTTTTCACAACACAGCATATAATATACCAATAACATTTTATTTATAACTTAACTGCTTTACCTGGAGTGAACACCTGTCTTGCTTTTTGTTTGTTTGTTTTTTTAATTTTCTGTACCCTTATCACCAGCTCGTTCCCACACAAGAGATATATAAAGATCATCCCAACATGTTATAATGCCGTTATTGATTCTGTTTCTTTTTCTTGGAAGTCTCTTGGACCTTTCCATACTCCTGCTCCATTCTGAAGCAGTTACCTTCTATGTATGCAGCACAGTTACATTTCTAGAAATTATTTTCTCCTCTTTCTGTGTTGGAGACCCTATTTTCTGGATTTATATCTCTATGGATTTATTTCCTCGCTCTAAGGGCATACAAGCAACCCCCCAGATGCTTCTTAAGAGAAGGAGTTTGTAGCTTTTTCTTTGAGCTTTTTGTTAGGTGGTTGAATATAGAAGTTGAGAAGGAAATAATCTTCAGAATTTTGAAGACATTTTCTCTACTACCTTTTTACTTCTGGTATATCTTCTGCTATATTCAGTGCTATTCTTATTCCCAGTCCTTCACTATATGAACTGTTTCTGGAAAGTTTTGAAGATCATTTATCTCCAGTGTTCTGAAATTTCACAGCAAGCTACTTTGGGGTTGGCCTATCTTGTGAAATCGTGGCCCTGGGTACACAGTGGCAAACAGTCTATAAACATATGTCCTTCACTGAGTTCTAGAAAATTTTCTTGAAGTAGTTCTTCGATAATTTTGTCTCCCTTCATTTTTCCCTTTTCAATTTCCTTGAACTCTGATATTTGGGCAGTAGGCCTCTTTGAGTGGTCTTCTAATTTTCTCATCTTTTCTCCTATTTTCCATTTTGTTGTCTTTGCTCCCCCTACTTTTTAGTTCTAATTTTGTAGTTCCTAAAGTGAATATATGCCTATTGACATAATTTTCCGTTCTCTGAGGTCCTTATTACTCCCTAAATGTTTCTCTTTTTTTTATTACATCCTTTTCTTGTTTCACAGATGCAACATCTTATGATCTTTCTAAAGATTAATATTTTGCTTTATTTTGTTTTTTTCTGCTTGCTGCATTTTCCCCCCTATAATAATCTCCTTCAACTGATTGTTAGCTGATTGTTAGCTGTTCTTTCCTCTTCCAGACTGGGGCACTAATAACCTGATCAGAAGCTCTGTGTGAGGTGGGCGTTTGTCAACTTGTAGAGTGATAAGACGGGGACTTGCTTTTGTTAGGAGACCCTCAAATATCAGTGACTGAGAGCTGAGCAGAGTAAGAAAAGTAATAAGGAGACTCATAAGGATTTTTATTGCATTTTTGTTTTCAGTATAGCTTCTCATCCCCTACCCACCCACCCACCCCCACCCCCACCGCCAGATGCCTCTGCCTTGTGTTCCTGAGTCCAGGATATGTCTGGTTCAGCTTTTCCAGAACGTAAATTGTCCTGGGTTCTTCTTGGTGTAAGGGAAGGCCTGGTTGGTGTAAGGGAAGACCTTCTTGGGATAGGAAATGAAATCTGAGGTCTTAATTATCTTTCCTTCCATTTTCAGCTACAACTCATACTCCTTCCTTCAGAGGTACCTGTTGCCTCCAAATTCTGAGTGATTTCCTTAAATTTTGATTCCTAGTGGTGCCATACAACTTTACCAGCTGAGTAATGTTGTGCAGGTTATACTTGAGTTTCATCATTTGTAAAATGGGAATAAGTCTTCGGATTGTTGTAAAGATTAAATGTTAGTAGATGTAAAGCACTTAACACAATCCAGGCACCATAATAAGTGCTTTAGAAATGTTTGTTATTTTTATTAACTGTAATCATTCTGAGGCTGCTTCATTATTTACCAGTTGTCCAATAAATTTTTAGCTTCCAAGATTTTGCTAATGTCTTATTCACTGTCCTTCTCTCCCAGTTCTTTGTCCTTTAGGTCTTTTGAGGAAACCTAAATAAATAAGTATATTTTAATCCATCATGTTTAAATTGAAGTCTCTTATTAATTTTCTAAAAATAATATTTGCATTAAGACTCTACAACAGCATAAACAATTTTTTGGGAGACTGTATTTTGGAAGTGTTTTCACTTTTGTACAGGTTTTCTACATTCTTATTTTCATGAGGCTTTTGAAAATGAGTATATTTGAATGAATGGAAGAAATGAATGAAAATGTTATGCCATCTGAAATAGTATTGAATATATAAACTTATAAATTGATTTGCTCATTAATTTGTCCAGATTGCTGCTAACAGTACTCGTCGTGCTCGCTGGTATGCCAAACTTGGATTCTCTCCTGATCCTAGACCTTTCCCTCTCTCCTTGTCATCACTTTTCAGTGATGGAGGAAATGTTGGTTGTGTTGATGTAGTTGTTCAAAGAGCATATCCAATACAGGTATGATAACATTCTTGAAGCTTACTATGTATTTCTTCCTTTTGGGACAGTTAATTTGAATGATCCCTCCCTAACATGTATCTTTGTTTGACATGTCATTACAGTGGATGGAGAGGACCCCTTCTGGATTATGCATATTTCGGAATGAACGAGAGGAAGAAAAGGAGGCAACGAAATATGCAGAAGCCCAACAAAAGAAACTAGAAGTCTTATTCAATAAAATTCAAGGGGAATTTGAAAAGCATGACGGTAAAATGAATTGTATATTACAAGTTCTTTTTAATATGAGAATAAGGTTTTTTATAAAACCTTATTTATAAAAATAAGGTTTTATATATAAGGTTTTTTAGAGGCTTCTGATTTAACCTCTGTAATTGAGTGAATTTTTTTAATTTGAATAATAGACTTCTTTCCTAATCCTGTATCTGAATTTTTTAAAATTTTTAAAAATATTATTACAAAGATATACAAATAAGCATAGAAGTGACCCCAGATTATCACCTCTTTATTCAACACATTGACCTTTTAGATACTTATAATTATCTTAGACAATAAAACATTACATAACCACAACACATCTCAGAAGTCTTATGTAAACTTCCGCTTAAGCTTCAATATTAAAGTATTTATAGTATCCTTTTTTGGTATTAGAGAAAGAATAGTAGCAAGGGAAAAACACTGCCAAATTATTTTCCCCTAGACAAGTACAGTATGATGTCACCTAGGTACAGAATGTAACTAAATTAAACTCATTAAAAAAAATAAAATGGTGGTTATCAGCAGACGAGAGGTGGTAGGATAAAATTGATGGTGTTTAAAGGTAAAACAACAATGAGCAAATAAGCTATAGTGATCCAGTGCACAGTATAATGAATATAGACGATATTGTACTAATGTGATATGATGAATATCAATACAATGGCAATCATATTAAGTATATAAATGAATCAAAGTAACACATTGGACACCTTAAATTTATACAATGTTATATGTCAAATATATTCAATAAAAAGGAAGGATAAACTCTCAAAAAAAAATTTTCCCAAGCCATATATCATTTTCTTCAGTATCCTTACCTACTTTTTATATAACTTTTGTATTTTCATTGTTGTAGTTGTTGGTTTATGTATTATCACACCTAGAGCTAGATCTTGTTTTTCCGGTGGCAGCAATTTTAATTTAATAATAAATTACAGTAATAAAAATTTTAATAATAAAATTATAGTATTTTTAGCATAAAGGATATGAAATTGATGTTTGGTTTTTGCCGAAATTTTTGTGTTCTGCATTTCTTCATGATTTTCAACTTCCTGTTCTATATAAATCTGTAGAAAAATTGGACTCTCAGTGTTCGATTCACCGGCTTATGCTGTTTTCATGATGAAGAAAAATCATGAAATCATTTGCTTAATTTACAAATCACTCTAAGCTCTCTGTGTGACAATTTTTTAAACCAGGAGTGAGTGCACTAGTTTGAAATTTTCCTAGAAAACTTGTAGCAGATAAATTGTGTTTTGCTTTTTAGCCTCCCTTCTTTGGCTACTTTTTGCTTGTTTCTCTAGCTTTCAAGGTTCATAAATTTGTGTTATGGCTTATTAATGATGCTTTTTTTCCTAGAGAATATATCGAAACAATGTAGACCATCATGCGCATTAACAAGACAGCAAGTCTGTGCTCTGCAAGATGGTGCAGAGCTTTATGAAGCAGTGACGAATGCACCAGACCCGGCTTATCTGGAGGTGGGAGAGTAAGAGGGCATCCTGGGAGGCTTAATCTTCCTCCTTTACAGTGGGAAGCTCTGGTTGGTCTTCTGGCCATCAGGGCAAGTACTGCATTGAAATAGTGTGTTTTTCAAAGAGGGTGTGTACATTTCTGGGGTCCTCTGTGATGTGCCAGACCAGTGCAGTACATTTGCGATTCTATACAAAATGGAAGATAGAAGGATTAAGTAATTTTGTATGTTAAATAAATGTGGTTTAAAATACAGGCAAAACTTGTTTACATTTAAGGTAAAATAAGTATCTTCAAAGCATTGTCTCAGTTTCCATATGCTCACTTCTTTCTCAGATCCTATCTGAAGTTTATCTCCTAATCTTCTACCTTAAGAGTGTGTTGGTGGAAAAGTGTCTGAAACACTAACCTGTGTTAGAATTATAGCTATGCCATTTATTAGCCAGTAGGGCACAAAATAGCTATAAAATGGGCATAAAATCAGTTGTTTAAGGATCAAATATTTAAGGATTAAATACTGTATATTATTTTATTTTTATGGAATTTATTTGAAGGAGGAAATAAGGGAGCAGAATAAGAGTTAGAAGACTAAGTTGTAGACCCGGTCCTGCTACTCTGCAGCTGGACAGGTGATTTCTCTCTTTGGGCCTCCCTACCACCTCTGTCAAGGGAAAGCCTGTGAGGGGCTTCTCACTAGGTTGAGAGTACATGATGCTGGAGATTTCACTTAGATATGATTTTCACTGCAATTCTTGGAGGAAAAAGTAGCCATCCATTTCTAAAAGACCCTGCCCTGCCAAAGGGTTTGTTTTCAGTGACCATGTTGAATGTTGGGGGACTTTGTGTTTCAACTAAACATTGTCTGCATATTTAGAAAGACCTGTTCATGGGGTGCCTGGGTGGCTCAGTAGGTTAAAGCTTCTGCCTTTGGCTCAGGTCATTATCCCAGAGTTCTGGGATGGAGCCCCACATCAGGCTCTCTGCTCAGCGGGGAGCCTTCTCCCCGCCCCCTCACCGCCTCTCTGCCTACTTGTAATCTCTGTCTGTCAAATAAATAAATAAAATCTTAAAAAAAAAAAAAGAAAAGAAAGAAAGAAAGAAAAACCTGTTCAGGGTACCAAGATCCCATAGTGTCCCTTCCCAGTATGAATTAGGCTATTAAGATGTGTGAGGCAGCTGCAGTCTAGTGTGTTGTGTGTCAGGATTCCATTTCCTCTTTCATTTGATTTTATTTTTTATTTACTCATTTTTGTTGTACTGGGTGTAGAGTCCCAAGAGATACAGACAGCACTTTGCTAAAATGACCAGGAGAGAAGTGTGGAGGCAGAAATAAGTGCTTATAGCGCGTGTCTGTTTTCAACAGTATCTACTGTTCCAGAGAGTTAATAAAATTATACTACCGCGGGTTAAGAATGAGAGCTCTTGAACTACCTCTACCTGTACACCCCTGCAAGTTATTTATTCTCTCTGTACCTCAGTTTCATCTTCTATAACATGCAAACAGTACTAGGGCCCACCTCATTGGGTTATTGTAAGGCCTCAATAAATTATTATATTTACCACACACAGATCCATTTCTCAGATACAGGGAGCACTTAAATGTCAGCCATTTATAATGTTGATGGTGGGTATGATTATTAGAGTATACCTTTAAGTAGGGGGCTGTCTTGGCCCTCGGGAAATTTGTCACAAAATAAGTGGCAAGTTTAAGGCACCTGAAAATATTTGTTATGTGATGAGCTGAGTATACTAGTCTCAATTTTTACATTGTCACATTGTTATGTGAATTCGAATATTCGAATTCTATTGTATTTTATACCCATTTAGACGGTTTCATTTACAGTGGGTGAGGTTTTTTGTTTGCTTTTTATTCTAATATCATTTGCCTTAATATATTAAATGATCCTAGGGTTACTTTAGTGAAGAGCAGTTAAGAGCCTTGAATAATCACAGACAGATGTTGAATGATAAGAAGCAAGCACAGATCCAGTTGGAATTCAGGAAGGCTATGGAATCTGCTGAGCAAGGACAGCAAATTTTATCAAGGAATGTTACAACTGTGTGGAAGTTGCGTATCATAAGCTATGGGAAGAAAGAAAAAGATTCAGGTCAGTATATAAATTTTTTAAGTTAGAGTACTAATTAATAAAATGAGTTCAAATGCTACATAAAGTGTAAAGTTAATGTGTATCAGAAGAGCAAAAATGGGCTACCACTACCCACAAAGCAATGGTATAATCCTTGGATCTTTGTTGTTATGGTATTTGTTTTACAAGAATTGTAATGCTTATCAGTTCTTCCATTATGTCTTTTTCCTCTTTATCTAGTTACATTGAGTATCTGGCGTCCGTCATCAGATTTATATTCCCTGTTAACAGAAGGAAAGAGATACAGAATCTATCATCTTGCAACATCACAATCTAAAAGTAAATCTGAAAAAGTTAACATACAACTAACAGCAACAAAGAAAACCCGGTATCAACAGCTACAGGTACAAACTTTTCATTATAGTTTTTTAATTTTGATGAATTATTAGCTTATAATATTAGTTTATATTAATATAGTTTATATTAGTTTATATAATTAGTTTATATGGCATATTAATTTATAGAATATATATATACACATTGATTTTTTTTTTTTTCCTTGTAGGCTTCAGATGAAATCCTATGCCAAATTTATCAGCCAAGGGAGCCCCTTTACTTCAACAAGCTATTGAGTCCAGACTTCCAACCACCTTGTTCTGAGGTGGACTTAGTAGGATTTGTAATTTCTGTTGTGAAAAAAATAGGTAATACAGAATGTGTTTTTAATTATAACTTCTTATGGATGCTTTTGAAAAATAATAGTTTTTAAAATTTGTCTTCCTTATGATTAATTGGAGTTACAAATCAGCAAAAATAATTTCAAAGTAGGCCTGTTTTAACCTTAATTCTTAATGAAAAGCAGTTCTGCATTATCACAGGGAAAGAACTTATATCCCAATTCAGTGCTACTTAATTTTAAAGAAATTGCTAGAAATGTTTTGTAGCATTTGAATGATAACTAGACAAATAATTATAATCTCCCTCTGCAGTTTCTTGAGCATTCAGGCCTCCACCTCCAGCTTCTCTGCAGTATCCCTCATCATAGGGACTAAAGCCCTTTGTTCTAAAACCTACTTTGTTTAGTGTGGCTCCTCCTACTTGTTTATTGTTATTTCTTGTTTATATGGTACTTCTTTTCCCCACTCTTATTTTTAACCCACCAGCGTCTTTGTATTTAAATTGGGCCTCTGACAGCATGGTTGGATCTTGTTTTCTTATCAGTCTGAGGGCCTGCCTGTCTTTTAACTGGTTTGTTTAATCTGATCAGCTTTAATGTAGTAATTGATATGGTTGGGTTAAAATCTACCACCTTGCTAGCTGTTTTCCCCTTGTCCCATTTGGTTCCTTGTCTTGGTAGGCTATTCTCTGCGATGTTTATGCACATTTTATAGCAGCCATTGTTTCGGACTCTCACTTTAAGAATGCTTGTATAGCAGAAAATCTTGGAAGGACAGAAACCTTTTCTGCCTCCTACGTAGAGGGCAGATTTGTTTCTCAACCAGGAAATCTGATCCCTTTTTCTGAGTTTGGTTTTTTTGTTTATTTTCATTGCTGTAGTTCTTGTTTAGATTCCACATGTAAGCAAGATTCTGATCATACTTTGAAGGAGGTAGACAGTATAGGTAGAATAAAGAGAGGACTCAAGAAGTCAATGCCAAGGTGCTTGGTTTGAGCACCTGGGAAAAGAATTGCCATTTACTGAGAGGGGAAGACGGCAAGAAAAACAGGTATGTGTTGACAGTCAGGAGCTCAGTTTGGTCAGTTAAGTTTTAGGCACTTAATCTAAAACAAAGATTTCTCCTTGACTAGCCCTTTATCTGTTATGTCATTTGCAAATATCTTCTCCATTCTGTCAGTTGTCTTTTGGTTTTGTTGATTATTTCCTTTGCTGTGCAAAAGTTTTTTATTCTGATGAAGTCCCAATAGTTCATTTTTACCCTTGCTTCCCTAGCCTTTGGTGATGTTTCTAGGAAGAAGTTGCTGCGGCTGATGTTGAAGAGGTTGCTCCCTGTGTTCTCCTCAGGGATTTTGATGGATTCCTGTTTCACACCGAGGTCTTTCATCCATTTTGAGTCTATTTTTGTGTGTGGTGTAAGGAAATGATCCAATTTCATTCTTCTGCATGTGGCTGTCCAATTTTCCCAATACCATTTGTTGAAGAGACTGTCTTTTTTCCACTGGGCATTCTTCCCTGCTTTGTCAAGATTTGTTGACCATAGAGTTGAGGGTCCATTTCTGGGCTCTGTATTCTGTTCGATTGATCTGTATCTGTTTTTGTGCCAGTACCATGCTGTCTTGATGATGACAGCTTTGTAACAGAGCTTGGAGTCTGGAATTGTGATACTGCCAACTTTGGTTTTCTTTTTCAACATTCCTCTGGCTATTTGGGGTCTTTCCTGGTTCCACATAAATTTTAGGATTATTTGTTCCATTTCTTTGAAAAAAAAATGGTGTATTTAGATTGGGATTGCATTAAATGTGTAGATTGCTTTAGGTAGCATAGACATTTTCACAGTATTTATTCTTCCAATCCATGAGCATGGAACATTTTGCCATTTCTTTGTGTCTTCCTCAAATTCGTTCATGAGTAATTTTTAGTTTTCTGAGTTCAAATTCTTTGCCTCTTTGGTTAGGTTTATTCCTATGTATCTGATGGTTTTGGGTACAATTGTAAATGGGATCCACTCAATTTCTCTTTTTTTCTGTCTTACTGTTGGTATATAGAAATGCAACTGATTTCTGTGGATTGATTTTATATCCTGACACTTTACTGAATTCTTGTATGAGTTCTAGAAGTTTTGGAGTGGAGTCTTTGGGTTTTCCACATAAAGTGTCACGTCATCTGCAAAGAGTGAGTTTGACTTCTTTGCCAGTCTGGATGCCTTTTATTTCTTTTTGTTGTCTGATTGCTGAGGCTAGGACTTCCAGTGATATGCTGAATAGCAGTGGTGATAGTGAACATCCCTGCCGTCTTCCTGAACTTAGGGGAAAAGCTCTCAGTTTTTCCCCATTGAGAATGATACTCACTGTGGGTTTTTCATAGATGGCTTTGATGATATGCAGGTATTTACCCTCTATCCCTACACTGAAGAGTTTTAATCAAGAAAGGTTGCTGTACTTTGTCGAATGCTTTTTCTACATCTATTGAGAGTATCATATGGTTCTTGTTCTTTCTTTTATTAATGTATTGTATCACACTGATTGATTTGCGGATGTTGAACCAACCTTACAGGCCAGGAATAAATCCCACTTGGTCGTGGTGAATAATCCTTTTAATGTATTGTTGGAACTTATTGGCTAGTATTTCAGTGAGAATTTTTGCATCTGTGTTCATCAGGGATATTGGTCTGTAAATCTCCTTTTTGGTGGGGTCTTTGTCTGGTTTTGGGATCAAGGTAATGCTGGCTTCATAAAATGATTTTGGAAGTTTTCCTTCTGTTTCTATTTTTTGGAACAGTTTCAGAAGAATAGGTATTTTTCTTTAAATGTTTGGTAGAATTCCACTGGGAAGCCATCTGGCCCTGGGCTCTTGTTTGTTGGGAGATTTTTGATTACTGCTTCACTGTCCTTGCTGGTTATGGGTTTGTTCAGGTTTTCTATTTCTTCCTGGTTCACTTTTGGTAGTTTATATATCTCTAGGAATGCATCCATTTTTTTCCAGATTGTCTAATTTGTTGGCATATAGTTGTTTATAATATGTTCTTGTAATTGTTTTATTTCTTTGGTGGTGGTTGTGATCTCTCCTCTTTCATTCATGATTTTATTAATTTGGGTCCTTTCTCTTTTTAATCAGTCTGATCAGGAGCTTATCAATCTTATTAATTCTTTCAAAGAACCAGCTCCTAGTTTCATTGATCTGTTCTACTGTTCTTTTGATTTCTGTTTCATTCATTTGTGCTCTTATCTTCACTGTTTCTCTTCACCTGCTGGGTTTAGGCTTTATTCACTGTCCTTTCTCCAGCTCCTTTAGGTGTAGGATTACGTTCTGTATTTGAAACTTTTTTTGTTTCTTGAGAAAGGCATGTATTGCTATATATTTCTCTCTTAGGACCATCTTTGCTGCATCCCAAAGATTTTGAGCCAGGTGTGTTTTTATTTTGATTTTCCATGGAATTTTTTAAATTCTTCTTTAATTTTCTGGCTGACCCATTCATTTTTTTTTAAGATTTTATTTATTTATTTGACAGACGGAGATCCCAAGTAGGCAGAGAGGCAGGCAGAGAGAGAAAGAGGAGGAAGCAGGCTCCCCGCCGAGCAGAGAGCCCGATGTGGGGCTCAATCCCAGAACCTCAGAATCATGACCTGACCCATTCATTCTTCAAGAGGATACTCTTTAGCCCCCATGTATTTGAGTTCTTTCCAACTTTTCTCTTGTGATTGAGTTCTAGTTTCAAAGCACTGTGGTCTGAAAATATGCAGAGAATGATCAGTCTTCTGGTACCAGATAAGACCTGATTTTGACCCAGGATGTGATTTCTTCTGGAGAATGATGCATGTGCACTAGAGAAGAATGTGTATTCTGTTGCTTTGGGATGGAATGTTCTGAATGTATCTATGAAGTCCATCTGGTCCAGTGTGTCATATAAAGCCCTTATTTGCTTGTGGACCTTTTGCTTAGATGACCTATCCATTGCAGTGAGCGGGATATTAGAGTCCCCTACTATTACTGCATTATTACCGATGTGTTTCTTTGATTTTGTTATTAACTGGCTTATATAATTGGCTGCTCCCATGTTAGGGGCATAAATATTTACAATTGTTAGATCTTGTTGGATAGACCCTTTAAGTATGATATAGTGTCCTTTGTCTTCTCTTATAGTCTTTGGCTTAAAATCTAATTTGTCTGATATAAGGATTTCCACCCCAGCTTTCTTTTGATGTCCATTAGCTTGGTAAATTGTTTTCCACCCCCTCACTTTAAATCTGGAGGTTTCTTTGGGTCTCAAAGGAGTCTCTTGCAAACAGCATATCAATGGTTCTTATTTTTTTATCCAGTTTAATACTCTGTGTCTTTTGATTGGCGCATTTAGCCCATCTTCATTTGGGGTAACTATTGAAAGATATGAATTTAGTACCATTGTATTGCCTGTAAGGTGACTGTTACTGTATATTGTCTCTGTTCCTTCCAGTCCATGTTACTTTTAGGCTCTCTCTTTGCTTAGAGGATCCCTTTCAATATTTGTTGTAGGCTGGTTTGGTGATTGCAAATTCTTTTAGTTTCTGTTTGTCCTGGAAGCTTTTTTTTTTTTTTTCTTTTCAGCGTAATAGTATTCATTGTTTT